ATAGAAACTATTTATTTATTCGTGGTTTTTAGTATCGCCTGTTCACCGCCCTGAGTCCTGCGAGGGAGATAGGGCAGTATATAAATTTAATAAATAAATAAATAAATAAAATAAACCTGAAATTATATTTCCAATTTGACCTTATTTTGTTCTATGTAGATTTTCTGTATAGTAACCAACTTAATAACTGAAACACAAAAGCCAGGAGGCAATAGCAACTGCGTATATTTAGAAAATTTCATGAACATATTTATTGTGGGTTGGATATAGACTTAGACATACTTAGAACTAAAACCACTGAAATTAATTGGGCATAAACTAGGCTACTATAAGCCATACTGATTTCAATGGGCCTATCCAGACTGCAAAAAATTGTAACAGTCCTTCTCTTGGTTAATAAAACATTTCTGGTTAATGTACTTTTTTTTTTTTGCAGGAAGAAGCAAGTTACCTGTAGAGAAGGAATGGCAGAACCTGGGGCAGGGTTAAAAGAGGGATCAGCCTAAAATACCTACGTAGCCACAAGCGAACTAACTCCAGCCCCCTCTTGAATTCTGCTGACCCTTATCTAACCCCAAGCAGGTGCTAACTGTTAGTTAGTTGAGAAGATTTCTGTGCATAGGCATGATTAGCAATAAATCAAGTTTAATTGGACTTCCCCCTGTGAATCTGGCCTCTTGCCTGACATGACCCATTAGTTCACTTTTCCCCCTCAGAAAGCAGTATGAAAGAAGAAGTAGAATATGTACAAAAAATGAATTCATTCATATCCCTAAATGAGCTCTTGCTAAACCAAGAAATACTAGCTACCCAACAATGCAATCCTACTATCAGTTACATTTCCAAAAGTACTCAGGAATGCAAAGTGCTACACAGCCTCTGGTGCTGTACAATATGCAGACCTGCACAATATGCAGTTTGTCAAACAGCCTTGTGCATTCCGATGTTCTGAAAAAATAAGCAATCCATTGCTGCCAATTATTGCCACCACTAGGAAGAATACGTTACTTTTGCCCAGGTTTTCAGAGCACCTCCCACCTCAAGACATCTGCCAAGCATCGCCATCATCTCCAAGTACCACAGACACTGCCAATGCCGATGCTACTGCCATGGAACTGCTCTTCCTTTGTCGCCTTTTTCCTTCTTTAGCGCAGGTGTCCCCAACCTGTGGGTCGCAATCCAATACCAGGCCACGGCCTATTGGCCACTGGGCCATGTGAGTGGCTGGCCAGTGTGCATGTATGCATGCGTGCAAACACAGCCCTAGCGCGAGCATCGCCAGCAGCATTGCAGGCATTCGCAGCCCCACTCACATGAGTGTCATGAGCACTCACAGCCCCGCTTGTGAGCTACAGGTGTTCGTGTGCACACATGCACATGCATTCACCCCCCCACACACAAACCATCCCTTCTTTTCCCCCTCCCCCCGTTCCGGGCCACCTATCCCGAAAGGTTGGGGAACTGTGCTTTAGAGTTCTGCAAGCCTGCTCTTGTCTGAGACACACAGGCTGAAATCCCGCACAACCACAAAGCTCACTGGGTGATTTGGGGGCAGGCATTTTCTTTTCACCCCACCTATCTCATGGGTTATTGTTATGGGAACCAACTTAGAAAATAAGAACAGAACCAAAAATGACAAAAGATTATAAACACAATTAATATACTAAAAATAATGACATTGACAAAAGCACCATCAGTCAATGGCAAAGGTCAATTGTACTTGGAATAGCTTACATCCTATTACCATACCTGCTATCTCAGGAGCTTGAGAGGGACTAAACAAGTGGATAAAAATGCCAAATCCACACTAAACATTTGGCTGACTGTGCAACCAACCATAATAACAACAGCAGCTATAACGATGCATTAATTTTTTATTCATGATGCCTACGTCTCAAAGACTTTGAGCAGCTCTCAACGATCAAATGAATAAATGAGAATAAAATCGATAAAAGATGGCAAGTGCAATGCAGCGAGGGGTCTGACTTTTCCCTTACCAGCAGAGCATGGATGAAGACCCAGATCTTTAATGCTCTTCTGAACAACAGCAGAGAAAGAAAGAGAGAGAGCAATCTAAGTCTTAGAGGCAACATCATTCCAAAGAGCAGGTTATGCTACAGAGAAGAGGTGCTTCTGGGATCCCGATCAATGGCATTGTTTAATCAAAGAAGCCCAGAGAGCATCAACCCTACAAGATTGGCGGATATGGGAGATAGGCAGTCGCTCAAGCAACCAGACCCTATATGGCTATGCCATGTAGGACTTTAGAGGTAACAACCAGCACCTTGAATCACACCCAAAGCCAAACTGGTAACCAGTGCAGCTTGCAAAGCAGAGGTGTTACATAGGCATACCAAGCCATGCCCATTACTTTCACGCTGCGACATTCTGGACCAGTTGAAGCTTCCAGTTGGTCTTAAAGGACAGCCTCACATAAAGAGCATTGCAGTAGTCAAGCCTGAAGAGGACTAAGGTTATGAGTGACTGTCTGATGGGCCTCCTGATCTAGAAAAAGACACAATTGGCACACCAATTCTGCACAGCCCTTCCTAGCCACAGCCGACACCTGCTCTTCAAGCAGGAACTAAAAACCCAGAAGATATATTGTGATAAGCGTGACTGGTTGATTGATTGACGAATGTTACTCTTCACTTTTTTTAGACATACAGAACAGGAAATACAGGCAACTAGGTTTCCCACTTACAAACAAAAAAGCAACAGTATGGTAACATTATTAGGAACAAACAAAAATTCTTACAACTGTCAACATTTCCACAAGGGCTTTTTTTTTCTGAACTGCAATAATAATTCAGTTGGTTATTAGACCATCCCTCTTACAAAGTGTTTTAATAAAGGCAGTGGTTTATCTCAGCTCTGATGTTTGTATTCAGGTTCTCTAGCAAGTTAAAATGAAGGATAAAAAAAAAGAGATAAGAATTCAGTGGCACGTGGTGGTGGAATGGGGCTCTCGTTCTCAGACCTATTTGCTGCCACATAACCCAGGAGCTGCTATACAGGTGTATCGATTTCACTTTGCTGCTTCTTCTTCCTAAGGCAGTGGTGGCGAACCTATGGCACGCGTGCCAGAGGCGGCACTCAGAGCCCTCTCTGTGGGCACGTGTGCCATCACCCCAGCTCTGACTCCCCCCGCGGCCCCCTCCTCACCAGCAGCCCTCCCAAAGGAGAGTCACCCCCGGGTGCAGCCCGCGTAGAGCAGTGCAGCCAAGGTCATGGCAGCCAGGCAGCAGGGACAAGACTCCGCCCTCATGCCCCGTCATGTGCAGATGATGCTGCGGGGCACGGGCGGAAGGTGTGGCCGCCATGGCGCTCCAGGGCTGCCTAGGCGATCTGCTGCGGTGGGCCGTGGAGGCGGTGGATGGTCCTGTGGATGGGTGGGGCAGAGGCAGAGTGGGGGCGGGTGGAGGGGGTGGGGCGATTTTTGGGCATTTGGTCTTTAAAAGGTTCGCCATCACTGTCCTAAGGACTCCATAATGTCCCATAGGAAAATGTGCCTCAGAATTGCTTACAACAGCTTTTCAGAACCAAAATAGCTTACATTCAAGCGTAGTGTAGGAGGCAAAAACCTACACATTATAGTACCAGTTCATGTAGTAACATGATCCTAAACACAATGTTGATCTTGTACTATACTTAATTGGTACTTAATTATGCAGATGAAATGAGGTTATTATAATTCTGCTACCTTAATTACACACACACACACACACAAAATCACTAGATTTCTTCTGCTACATAAATTCTATATGCCAACGCTTAAGTACTGTACTGAACATCTTAATTTGAGAACGAGGTTGAACTAATATTGTCAGTACTTTTACCAAAGGCCATAATTCCCCCCCACCAGATGCTTTCCAAATATATTGGGATTAAAATTCTTTCAATACCAGCCCAGAATAACTGGGGAATTTCAGGAGGTGAAGTCTTATCATATCCAGAACAAAAAAAACAAAACAAAAAAAAGGCTGAAGAAGTCGAGAAGGCTCTTCTGGCCTTTAACAGCCCATAAAAATCTTAATTTTTTTTTTAAACCACTGTTTACAATTTCACCAGTCAATGAAGGACTGGCTTCCCAAGGGAGTCTGTGTTGTGCAATTAATTTTTACCACAATTCACAAAAACATCACATTTTCACGCCAAGATGGGAATGAAATGTATACATGGGCCAGGTTCAACATTTTGCAACTTACTATGATAACTGTGTCACATAGGTTTGAATGTGGCATATTCTATGGCACAACTGTAGACCTCCATCCTGTTTAACATCTATAACTCAAGAGCCATAGTTGAGAACTAAAGCTTATAAATGCAGTTGTGATTTGCCTTGATCTCTGTTTTATCAGACACATAATAAACGTACACTGCTCATAATGATAGATATTATAGTAATTCAGATTAAGAAGACAAAGGGGCAACAGGTAGCATGGACTATGCAACTAGCAATGAAGAGACAGCCAGGAGACTCCCAGACGCGAAACAAAGCATGCAAATTATGCTTATTTGTGGATATAAGTACTGTGTTTTTTTCTTTCTTTAAAACTGATGAATCAAAACTCAAATTTCTGTGCTATCTTGTTACAGATTTTTGTACTTAAGAGGGACTAAGAACGTGAAGTCAGAACACTGACGATGAAGCAATGAAAACACATTAGCAACTCAGTACAGAGAATAACAGCATCCCTCCAGGGTTTCTAACTGCAAACAATAAGTGTGATAAGCTTCTGGCACTTTAAACAGCAGATAAGATGGATGATACTTTTCTACATAAACAAGACACCTGAAGGTGAATCTAGGCACCAGAAGCGATTCTAAAATACTCAAGACAATATACATTGTGCTCAAAATTAAAGATATGGAGTGCACTAGGATAGGACTTGTTTACTTCATAACATATATAACTTTTCACCTAAAATCCCAGTCACCTGCAATTCATATCACTCTCTATACTTCACTTAAGGATATATGAATGGCTCAATACTCACTTGTGCATATTTTCCACTCCTATAATGATCATGATATAGTATGAAATTCCACTTTGTATAACAAAATGTAAGGCATACCTAGGAAGGAAATATTATGATAATGGCTTATTAATCCAGGTACCAATTCAGTTTTAAATAATAGAGAGAAATAAAACACTGCCCTGATCTGCTCTTTTGTTGATAAATTGTTATCTATTAGAATTAAATTAGAATTTCAGAGACATCAAAATTACTCTAAAGCCATTGTCACCCATTGTATCCAAGTTTAATAAATGGGTCCTGTCGTGATCCCTTTCTTTTAAGAATACACTAATGTTTTGGAAATAGAATCCAGCATTCTAACATTAATTCTAGGAAATAAAAGCACTGAAATGAAAAATCGAGCTACTTACCATCCAAAACAAAAAAGTGCAAGATAAAGGCCCAAGAGTGTGGCAACAACATGCCTTATGAATGGACTAGTTTTGCTTGAATGAAGGTAAGTTCGAAACCACACAGCAGCCAGCAAGGCAAACAGTTGGCATACTACAAAATTGACCTGCAAGAAGAGACAATGATTATTAAAAACATTAATATTCATATAATTATATGTTGACGTTGATTTTCTGTTTATGCAACAAATGAACAAAACCAACAGTGGCAAACTTTTAAAAAAGAACTTTTAACTCACACTTTCACAATAAAAGTTCCAAATCTGGTTGTTTTTTTTAAATAAATCAATCCCCAATTTGCATTATTGTTCATACACACAGAAAAAAAAAGCAAATCTTTGCTGTATTTGGACAGTAAAGCGGATGAGCTGCTTCAATGAAAGGAGATGGCAGGGGAACTGTCTGCATTCTTAAAAAATGGTATTAAAATTTTATTTGAGAACCTTGTATTCTGTAGATAGGGCAATGGCAACTATAGCTTTTAGAAAGGCTAAAAAGAGTTATGGTCGAGTTAAGATGGATTCCTTTCTCAGAACAAGTCCCAAAGCAGATAGCTAATACCTGACGACATTGATGCTGCAGCCTTTTCTCAGTCTCAAGTATTAAAATTTTTTAAAGCACAGTATCAAAAGGGAGAACAATCTTTGAAGCATAGCTGCCATAGATAAAAATGCAAAGTAAGGGCCTGTTTAGTAATCACATGCATTGTGATTCCGTGCAAAGGGAGCTCCAAAGAAATTTGGAAAGTGCATATAGGACCAGATGCCCATTTCTGACTAAGCAGAAATGGGAAAATACAGAAGTTGCACAGCGATCTTAGAAATAAGGTCAAGAAAAACCAAAGGGAGCTTATTTCCTTTTTATTAAATCAAATGCAGTATCGAATTTCAACTGGCCTTCTGACTTTTCAGAAAGCCTTAAAAGCTTGGATAACTAGTGAGGTTAACCAGTCAGGAGCTGTCAACTTACTGTTGGTTGTTATTGCCCTTGGTTGCCATTATGTGTTTCTTTATATTGTTTATTTTGTATCCTTAGTTTTCAAATTCTGTTAGCATACCCGAAATTGCTCTTGCAGGTTGGGTAGCCATATAAATGGATTAAAAATATACAGACAATAAAATATTGTGCCAAGAATGTGCAGCGTGCTCATGTTATGAAGCATCTAATTTATCCCGAATGTTTGTTTAAAACCATGATTCCATTTAGAAATTTGTTCACCACAGATGCCGTCACTGTACAATGAAATGGCAGCACATGTCCTATAGTTTGCCATTTGGTGTTTTGGTAAATAGGATTTTTTTTTTCCTTATGTGATTATTGCTTTTTTAGCTTTGTTGTATTTGATTTATGTTTTAACTGTTAATGATTGTAAATAGTCAGATGTTTTGTGAGTTGTGTCATTTCTAAATACAGGTAGTCTTTGACTTACAACCATTTGTTTAGTGACCCTATGAAGTATAACCACACTGAAAAAAAGTGACTTTTGACTGGGTTTCAAACTTACAACTGTTGCAACATCCCCACAATGGCGTGATCAAAATTTGGGCATTTGGGAGTCTGTTATGTTGCAGTAGCCTGAGATCACGTGATCACCATTTGCAACCTTCCCAGTCAGCTTCCAAGAAACAAAGTCAATGGGGGATGCTGGATTTGCTTAATGGCCATCTGATTCACTTATCCAGGGGTCCCCAATCCCCGATCTGCGGCCCAGTACTGGGCCGCAACATGCCAGCAACCGGTCCACACAAACAAGCAAAGCCCCATCCACAGGATGCAGGCTGCACACAAAACCACACACCCTCCGGTCTGTGGAAAAATCTCTCTCCATGGAACCGGTCCCCGATGCCCAAAAGGTTGGGGACCTCTGCACTTATCTACTGCAGTGATTCACTTAACAACAATGGCAAAACTGACCATAAAACTGGGTGTGACTTCATGTAACATCTGCTTTCTTAGCAATGGAAATTCTAGTTGTAGTCATAAGTCAAGGGCCACCTGTCACTAATTTATCACGATTACTAATTTAAAAAGGGAAGTGTAAACAAAGGAATCCAAAGGAGGCCCACCCAAGATAGCAAATAGGCCTGAGGGAAAGGCTATTTGAAGAAAACTGCCCAAGCCTTGAGCATATACAAAATAACATCAGAGCACTGTTTCAGTGCAGTATTGATATTGGCACTTATTTATACGTGCAAGGGTAGGGACAGAATGAAGGAATGGCTTTATCTACTCATTGCTGTCCAACGGATATTGTGCCAAGCCAGGCTCCAAAGTTAGAAACAAGCTCAGTCACAGAGGAAATATCCTTGGATAGAGAGGGAGAATAAAAAGAATTTGGATCCAAATCCCATTTCACCACCACCACCACCGTCATTAATGTTATTTCGGCAAGCTAGTTATATCCATTTGCCACTTTCAAGTCTATCCCCCAAACAAGTTTCATCCTCTCTCAGATCTCTGGCTCATCCTTGCAGTTTCCCCTTTTCTTTTTGGGTGTTTGTTTAAAACATGTAAATAGGGCAAATTAGGCTGCGAATCTCAAAAGAATCAGGGTAGATCCATAGTCACCTTTGGCACAGCATGGTGGAAGATTTGCCAAGGCTTAAGAATCTGTGTACTGAATGGAATATTTCCCAGAGAATTCTATCCGAGCCAATTTTAGTTACAGAAAGTAAGGAAAGCTGTACAGTAGTCTAGTTACAGAAAGTAAGGAAAGCTGTTCAGCATCCCAACGCCGTTTCACTTGGTTGCACCATTACCAAGTGCAGCGTCTGAACAAACAATCTTATGTCTAGAATGTGCGGCTATTAAATTATCGAAGACACAGTGCTTCTTACTGTGTCTTCTTTACAGAATTATCCAGGGTGGGGGTGGGATGGGAAGGGAATCAAATTCCCTACTTTCCAAACTCAGGAAGGCTTTTGAAACCGGTCCGCGCAAAGCTTCGAACACTAAAGTTGGCTCAACTTCACTGTAGTACTGTAATGTAAGCTGCTATTCAAAGACACTGTGACTTACAAGAGACCCAACTAATTCTTAAAGTAACAAGAATCCACATTAAAACTGAGACACCCAACTCTTCTAGTGATCAAAACTAAGAATAAGCTCTTAAGATTTGTAAAATATACCATGCGTTAGATTGTGCTACAACTGATAAACTTCATCTCACCCGATATGCTACCAATAAAGTTTAGCTTCATATAAAGGCAAAGAATGATTTAGAAAGCCTGTGATAAACCTGAGGTCATAGCTTTTTAAAATTAAATGACTGTTTCAAATTTCCATTTGCACTTTTTTTTACAGTATCACCGTGCCAGACAAAAAAGTATTATTTGTTCTAATAAACACATATTATAAGAAAAGAACCAACACTTCTTAGACTCACGTTCATTTGTAGTTGCCTACATATAATCCTCCCCTAGAAGAATTTAAGGTTTTTTTTTCATTCCTTTGACATAAAATAGTCCCCAGTACAGCATATTGTGTCTGTATGCGTGTCTCATATCAGTGAAAGATGCAGAGCAAAGATGAAAACCTATAGAAGAGGCAAAAATCCTATTAGGTATATTAAATAATGCATCTGGAAGACCAGTGAAACTGAAAGAAAATATTACTTGAGAATCAGACTTTTCAAAAGTAAGTGCCAATAAAAGGAGTACTGTTCTGTAGGTTGACACCCTTTCCAAAAGGGGATCTTTTCATTATGTCTTTTACTATCTGCTATGTCTAATACTCTTCCCTTTCTTTGTGACAAGCTCTCCAAGATTTTCTCTGCAATACAAATGGGGAACTTGTAACTTTCCATGTATTGCTGAACTACAATTTTCAGAATCCTTCCTCATCGGCATGTTTTTCAGTAACATATAGGTCACAGGTTCTTCACTCAACTCTCACTTAAAAGCACTCCTACTCTGCTTTCACTTTACACTTTTACTTAAAGCATCTTGTGATCTAAGAACTTGCTGATCCTTAGGCTCTGAAATTCACTGTAAGGCAACATTTCCGTCCCTCCCCCCTTTTTAAAAAGAGAGATACTTGGGTATATCCTGACATTTCACCTGCTATTTATCCATTATTTCATCAGGTGACTCTAAGGGAGCAGAACCAACTCAGGGCCCCTGGCCACTTCAGTGGCTTCCAAACTCTGAGCCTTTATGGCCTGTTGGGTTTAGGAAGCAGAAGATTCTTGGATCTTTCAAACCGGTTCTCCTCTCCCCTGACCTCCAGGATCTACAGGTCCTGGATCTATATCAGCCCAAAGAGTGGAAGATCAGTAGAGGAGGAAGAGGAAGAGGTGCAGGATGAAGCAGGAAAGAGGCGCTTATACAACAACCCACTCCCCAGTGTCCATCAACTGTTTTAGGCTAGTTCTGAAGAGGGAGGGGGCTGGAAGACCTATGCAAGGACACTAAAGCAGTGTTCAAAAGTAGCCCCAACCCAAGTTAAGTACTCTTTCAAAAGAGCAATATTCCCAGTGGTGAGATTCAAATATGTGAACAACCGGTTCTCTGTGTGGATGTCGCTTTCGGAAGTCCATTCTGGGCCTGGGCAACAAAAAATTAGCTACCGGTTCTGCCGAAGTGGTGCGAACTGGCTGAATCCCACCACTGAATATTCCCCTCTTTCGAAGTAGCCAGAAAACAGCTGACAGGTGTTGTATAGCCCTTTCTCAAAACTTGCTTCCCGGTCATTCACAACCCAGTTAAGAAAGTGATTGGTGGATGTTTTCCACTTGCTGGTGACATTTGTGGAAGGGAAAGTTTGATGAATCCCTCAAGCCTTTTCCTTAAGTTGTCCTATGCACAGAAAATAAGGCAAGCACCATTTAGCAGCATTTTTCTGTAGGGAGTAGATGCCCATGGTTAGGGCAGCAAGTTTTATTTATTCACTGTTTCTTGCAAGGTAGATATTACAATTTACAACAATAAAATATATAATACTAATATAGTCCTCGACTTACAATCACAACTGAGCCCAAAGTTTCTGTTGCTAAGTGAGACATTTGTTAAGTGAGTTTTGCCCCATTTTCGACCTTTATTGCCACCGTTGTTAAGTGAATCACTGCAGTTGTGAATCTGGCTTCCACATTGACTTGACATGTCAGAAG